AGTTCAGATTTCTTACAACTTTTCCTCAGTTTTCATAATCTTCAGTCGAGTTTAGCCAAGACACAGAGGTTCCCCAAACCTATAATTTTTGGAAGTTATATATTGTTCATTTGGCACACGTGTTACAACGCACTTTGAAAATTTCTTTTCAAAGTGCGTTAATATCGACCATATAATTGCATTTTGAAACAATGTGTGGGGATTGGTCAAAATTCTTGCAAATCTCAGGTATGATAAATATATATTATTACAACCGCTATAACTAGCTAAATATAGCAGAATAAAACTTTAGAGATCAATTGTATAATATTTATCCATAAAACAAAGCATAACAAGAAAACATTGATGTAACCATCAATTGTCGCCCGGGAAATATATAAAGAAAACAATGGAAATGACTCTTGATCATCAAACCGCTTCGATTTGTGTGAAAATGCATGTGTCCAGTTGATGGAGACGATAGTCGCGAATATTAGGAAAACTTATAGTCGGATAAATGTCAAACTAAAACGATACCATTTCAAACTTTAATTCCTCGAGTAAATGTTGGCTGCATAAAATATAAATTAAAGTTAGACAAATGCATCACATATATTCAAAAATGTATTTGATTTTCAATTTAGAATATAAAACACGAACTGTGCAGAGTACATTTTTATGCGAGAAGTAAAATTCAATGTTCTAAAAAAAAGGGACCCGTCGTTTTTTGATAGTAAATGCTAAACAACTTTATATATTAAATATGAAAAACATATATATTTTTACAGATTCACTTTATGGAAGTAAATATATTATATATCTCATAATTTATAAAGGGAAAGAACATTCTGATTAACAATCTTTTCAATATTTAGAAAACCTTTAATTTTAAATAACTACTCCCACACCAATCTCCATATACCAACACTTAAACTTATATGTATAGAGCAGCCCGGTCCTCCGGGCTGCAATAACAAGGGACTTTTTAACGCGCAAGAAAAATAACGTCATGTTTTTGCGTGCTACGTCATCAGTTTCAGAGAGTGGTGATATGGATTCAGAAAACCACAGTGTGGTGATCAGGAAAATCGGATCAAACTCTGTAAAATTAACAGTAACAAAAACAAGGAAATTGATGGGTATATAATAAAAAATTGGACCTGTTTGATAACTTTTCGCTGATGAGGTCACTTTATGATGTCAAAGTGAGCGATTTTGATTTGTCCATACTTTGAAAATTCTTTCCTGTACTTTTTGTTTTCCAATTTGCATGCATTTTTTTTTGTAAACTGAAATTTATCGAAAGTTTTCAACGTCATACAAGTTTTGTAAATACATATTTGGGTGTAGCATAAGCATCAGTGCCGGGAAGGGGAGTGAAGGGGGGAGGGAGTTAGGCACACAAATGTTTTGCAAAGATATACATAATATATGTAAGCAATAAAAATTAGGGCTAACCCGGGGGGGGGGGGGGTCAACTTTCAATTTGCTACCAACGACTATGTACCATGTACAAGAAAAGAGCCGGGATGAGAGACCTTCTTATCGTCTTTTCCCTGTTTTCAATGAGGTTAAATGAGTACATGTAAATCAAAAAAGTTTTTCAATAGTTATAATTATTACAAATTGATTCTCTCAATTTCCAAAAAAAGTCTAGAATTTTTTGTTTTTATACATATTTATTTTAAAGTGCATTTAATGTCCTGATGGTAAAAGATGTTTGTGTACACTCTTAACGCACTTTGAAAAAAATTGTCAAAGTGCGTTGATATTGTTCCAATTTTAACGCACTTCGAATTTGTTTTTCAAAGTGCGTATTTTTTTTCAAAGTACGTTGCCACACACACGGCCTACCATTTTCTGCAAAATGTGGTTATTTAGTCACTGTTAGTTCTTTTGGGATAAGAAAGATTGATATATTCAGCAGGGATCCATATCATCAAAGCAATAAAAATCAAGATTTTATGAACTTGTATAAGAACACTAGAATGAGCAAGTTTTCCCTATCAACTATTCACATCCGCTTTTAGCCCTATACAGTTACTAAGTGCAAGGAGTATTTCGTTAAAAAAGGAAAATAAAGGTAAAAAAAAAATGTATGAACCAGGAAAACTGCAAACCCAAACTGTGAAAGTTATTATTTGCTATCAAGATCGGTAAAACGACAAAATAATTAACGAAATGATGCCGTTAACAAGCTAGTTCCAATCCCCAAACATCAACTTCTGTATGAGTAGTCTCGATCAATTTAAAAAATGATCATACATAGAGGAAGCTAGTGATACTGCTATACATTGGGAGAAATGCACGATATACATAAAGGTGTCAGCTGAATATTTGGTTTCAAAGGTATATAAAAACAAATCGGCTAGTTAAAGAGCACATTTAGTGTGATCAACTCATTGTTTCATTCATCAATTTATTTATTTTATGTAGACTTTTCCTATCTTAAATTTGTTTCACCTACCCAAAACGCTTGAGTTTTACAGCACTGTCTTACAAACGAGTATGCGTGGTGTCTTAAGATATTACAACCACGATTCAAAAGACATTTTACAGTCACCTTTAACATTAAATAGTCAGTAGTATCATATAAATTGAAGGCATATTTCTTTGTTCCCCGTCTCATAGATTCAAGCATTGTTAAGGGGAAAGTTCTTCTCATTTTGTTTTTAAATCGACAGGGTCTCTTTACCTCACATAAAAAAGAATTTATATAAACAGGAATTTCAATTTCAGGTTCAACAAATGGCTTTACGACACGATTCCTTGGATTTCAAGTATATATTTCAAATACTACAGACAGACTTAAAGGTCACTTATGTTTTCATGACACAAACTACACCATAAGCACAATACCTGCTGTCGTCAATATAACTTGTCCTGTACATGGACAATATGTCATCTACCACAACGAGAGAAGACCCGGTGTTACTTATCCTGATGATTATTCGAAGTATGCCTACATTGAGCTGTGTGAGGTGGAAGTTTATGGTAAGATTTGTAATGTTAAACTAATAGGGGTGTGTTAGTCTGGTCGAATTTTGTTTTTATGCATTTACCGGTATATGCATTCCGTTGACTTTGTCCTTCATTTTTCGTTCCTTTAAGTAATGTTGATGTAAAAATTCCTTCTTAGTTTTTCTTATCGCTAAATTCAAATGTTGGGAACTTAACTAGCTAAAAAAGGAAACATTTCCTTTATCATTTAGCTATGTACGTAAAAATTTACATTTTTTTACTAACCATTATTAATTTCAAAGGATAGGATTTTTCTTTTTTTCAAATAAATGTTTGTAGGATGTCCAGACCCCACACACTATGGATCCGATTGTTCATATAAATGTTCAACAAACTGCCTTCAATATTGCGATATAGTGTCTGGAAAGTGTCCAAGTTGTGCTCCTGGTTACAAGGGTAAATGGTGCGAGCAAGGTAGGTTCTTTGAAAAATGAATGTTAACCTTTCAAATATATGTTTTAAAAAAGTTGCCGTGAAAAGCATGGAATAGAAAAAGCAAATGATATAAAACAAGAACCAAAAAAAAAAAAATCGTTATAATTTTACTGGATCCAAGAGAAGTTTCACCCAATTTATAACGCGATTTTTTATACATGAGAGAATCATAAATCTCCTTTATTTTTTTTTTATTAAAAAGTATCAATATTTTTTAAAAATTAAATTGCCAAGCTCTTTTGAAAATTTCAAGTTTGTGATGATGGATTGTTTGGGGATGGCTGTAGCCTAGTTTGTGGACATTGCAAACAATTGACTGAATGTCACCCAGTAGATGGAACGTGTTTGAATGGATGTTCCCTGGGATATCAAGGACCATACTGCAATAAAAGTAACTATAAATGAAAATGCATAATCGATATTTAAAAATTAAATGTACCCATGTATTAAAATGTTAATTGTTATTTCACAAAATTCTAGTAAACATTTGAAAACCTTTTATTCAACTCTATTAAGCCTGTTTAGATGGTTACTACGGGGAAAATTGCAAAAATGCATGCAATACAACATGCAAAGGATGTAACAGAACAAATGGTATTTGTGAAAATGGGTGCCGTACTGGATGGACCGGAGATTTCTGTCATGAAGGTGACTGCCTCTTTGCTCTGTTTTTAATGCTTTATTGTTATATTTTTTTCTCTGATATCCCATGTTTCCAATTTATACCTAAAAGCTATAAGATATGCTATTTATTCCAAATTTATCACTATACGATTTAATATATTCACTTGATGTAAAATTTGACACATGTAGCCATCATTCTAAAAAAGAAAAAAGAAAACTTTGTTTGAGATGGAAAACAATTTAAAAAAAAAACAAACGAAATCCACAATAATATAAATGTAAAATCTACTTTATTTCTCAGAATGTGACGGAGGATTTTATGGGGATAATTGCAGCATGCCTTGTGGACATTGCATTAGTGTACAACAATGCGACCCAATGAACGGGACATGTTTAAATGGTTGCGCTGAAGGTTATATTGGGATTTATTGCAATAACTGTAAGCAAAGTGTATTTTAACTGTTGAAAAATCACTGATTCTTTTATTTCTTTATTATTTTTTCGATTGATTTTTCGTTGATTTCGAGGTAGTGATAGAACCATGAACTCATGTCAACTATGACATACGATGTTTCACAATCATCAATTTCTAAGCACCTGCAAACGACTTAATCAAATCCTCATGAACCAAAATATTTTTCTTCAATCCTGTAAAATTCCATCAAAAGAAAGTGTTTGATTTAACGTATTTAACTTCTATAGTGTTTTATTATTATTATTATCATTGTTATTTTTTATTCTTGTTCCCATATAAAAAGATTTATGCATTAAAAAAAAAAATCTTCTTACAGCCTGCCTGAAAGGATCCTTTGGAAAAAATTGTTCTGAGACGTGTAGCAGTGCATGTTATGACTCTACGTGCAACAGAACAAATGGTAGATGTGACAATGGATGTTATCCGGGTTGGAAGGGAGATTATTGCAACGAAGGTAAAAAAAAATGTATATAAGAATGCAGATATGTATAACAATTACTACTTATTCCTGTACAGTAGAGTGTCTCTTTTCTTTGTCTTTATATTTCTAATTTTTTGTTTGTAATAAATCTTTGCATTTTATGTTACCGGTAGTTGATTTCTTGATTACATGTACCCCATCTGAATGTTACTTTGCCAAGAAAAATTATCAGGACCTTTTTATGTATGTCTCATGCGGCTGTCTTTGTATCTGAAGTCAAGGGGCTGGAATGTTTGAAAATTATATGGGAGGTCTCGTTCATCTAAATAAATTAGACTACACTTCTATATTTACAGTAATATTTAATTTGACATATTTAAGTAAATATAATTAAGGACAGATGATACAAACAAACCTTTGTCGAAAAAATTGACAATAACAACTTGGGTCATGTTTAAATGAATAAAATGAATAACTTTCGTTGCGTAGTTTTTGAATTTTTATTCAAAATTTTACAAAAATGGAATTTGAAGTGAAAAAATATTTGTATAGGTTAATAAAGATGGGTTTAGAAGGGCAGACTTTTGAACATCACAGAAGGTTAACAATTTCTTTATATTCTAGAAAATTATTATTTGCATCATTTGCAACAAAATAAGGCCAAAAATATATACCAATCCAGGCATCCATTTTTCGTTCGTATCATCTGTCCTTAAGGGAATTAATATTTGCAGAGTGCAATGAGGGGTTTTTCGGCGAGAATTGCAGTCATACTTGTGGTCATTGCAAATCATTAGAAGAGTGTCATCCAATGAATGGGACGTGTTTGAATGGATGTTCTGAGGGATATAAGGGGGAGTTCTGCAACAAAGGTATATCAAATATCCATAAATGCTAAATTTGCGTTCCAAATACTTTTTAAAAAGCATGTGAGAATGTTGTTTGAAATAATGATCTTGATATTTAAGCCTGCAGTGAAGGATATTTTGGAGAAAAATGTGTCCACAAGTGTAACGATACATGTAAAGGATGTAACAATGTTAATGGCGTCTGTGAGCATGGATGTCATACTGGATGGAAAGGAGACTTTTGTGATGAAGGTAATACATAAACTATTTATGGCAAATCCATTGTTTTCTGTGCCTTCCCCCTTATCTTATTTGTACCATTTGAAAATGTCCAAAAAAGGCACTTTTTGATAATGGATAATGAAATACTTTGAAGAAAACGAACTATGATCGATCCAAGAAAACAAGCAAATAATATTAATCGGTATACAGAGTATAAAACACGGATCCCTGGTTCCTCTATAGGGAGGGTCAGGTTTATAGGAGGATAAAGCATCTCCCCTAACAAAAAAAAAACTATAGTTAACTATAGTTTACTATAGTTAACTATAGTAAATCAAAGTGTCAAAGTTTTTGCTGAAAGTTTTTCAAAGTGTCAAAGTTTTCGCGAAAGTTTTTCAAAGTGTCAAAGTTTTCGCGAATGTTTTTCAAAGTGTCAAAGTTTTCGCCAAAGTTTTTCATAGTATCAAAGTTTTCGCCAAAGTTTATCAAAGTGTCAAAGTTTTCGATAAAGTTTTTCAAAGTGTCAAAGTTATCACGATAGTAAATCAAAGTTTTCAAAGTGTCAGTTATAACTATAATTAACTATAGTAGAAGGGATCTCAGTGAAGATATGTTGTTTATTGGTGGCATTTCTATTTAAATAATATATTTTTATTTCATAGAGTGCGATTACAATCAATATGGAACAGCCTGCAATAAGACATGTGGTAATTGTATCAATAGCGAGACATGTCATCACATCAATGGTTTTTGCGTCAATGGTTGTGACTCTGGATATCAGGGAAATAAATGTGATCAAGGTACATGTAACTCTGACCAGCCTAGAAATATATTTGATAGATGCATTCTCTTCTTTATGATAACTTTAATTCCACCTTTTGTTAATTGTTACAAAAAAAAAAAAAAAAAAAAATCAAAGTAAAGGAAAAATAAAATGATCACAAATATATGATTTTTTTGCAAAAATTGAATATCAAAATAATTGTAATTTTTAGTTTGTGAGTTTGGATTTTACGGGATAAATTGCAGAGATGTCTGCAGTACGTTTTGTAAAGTATCACGTGACTGTCATCACGTAACTGGTGTCTGTAAATTTGGCTGTAAAGCTGGAATGACTGGGCTTGATTGTCTACGAGGTTTGTCGTGTATATCAGGAATTGCCGTACATAATCTAAATCTAAGTATCATATATGCCCTTTTCCCCATTATCATTATTTTTTTCAGTTGAAGACAACGACATGTACCAAGCTAGATTTTATGGTATTTTGGTACCATTTTGTGTAACAATCGTTTTCATTGGGCTGTTCCTATCTTACAAAATCAGGAACTGGTAAGAAAGTATATAAAAAGATACTGCTTTTAAAATCTAGTTATATAATCTGAAATGCTTTTTTTCTATTATTTTTTTTTTTGAAGGATTAAAAAATCGCAAGAAAGAAATAACAAAACTTATCATCATCAGAAAGATGACGTGACCCTTCATAAAATAGACGATTTTGCAGTTGAAAATATTTACGACAATCAACAACTTTAAGATCTGGATTCAACTTTCAACTGTGTTACTAATATTTTGTTAATAGAAAAGATCTTCCTGGAACTTTTTTTTTTGAAATTAACATTTTGTTTTACCTTTTAAGCGGTCATTTATAATTTGCAATAAGATTTTTTTTTACTTGTCTTATTTACATGTATCTTTTTTCAAATTAATGTTCCTTTATATACTGTTTGATTATGTTACCTCTTCAAAACGCTGTTTTATGATTCCACAGCATTATAAAATGTTATTAATTATGACAGTTTGTTATGAATGTCCATTAATGTTATATTAGTTTCTATGTAATACTTATTTTCATAAGTTGCACTAAAATGCTGTTGTTTTGGATCAAGAAGAATTTTCTCTGTTTGTTTCATTGAAATTGTTTCATTACTGATGTCTCTCACTAATGTTATTTGAAAAAAAAAAATATTTGAAAGAAAGTTATTTGAAAGAAATACTCTTTACATTGAAATTGTAAAACAACAACTCACCCTGGCCCTAACGCCTTTTTCGAATAGCAAATAAAAGTCTTCTATGGCTCATGAAATGTTTTAAATGAAATACGTGAAATATATGAAAATGAAAAAGAGTATTTAAAACCAACAATCCATAAAAAAAAAAATCAAAGAATGAGCGGGATGAGGTGTCGTGGAGGAGTGAGCATCCCCTGCTGATCCGTCACACCCGCCGTGTGCTCCTTGTCTTGATCGGGAATTAACAAAAAAATTCGTCGTGAATTAGTAATGTACAAATAATGGGGAAAAAGGTATTAAAAATGTCAGTCAGCATTTGGCTCAATGAAAATTTGCATTTGATGACAAGGTCATTGTATCGACCATAAAACTAACGAAATGATGACATTGAACCTGACTGTAGATATTCCTGCTTCATCAATTCGTTTGTCACCAATTTACTTCATTAAAGAAACTGAACATATTTAGAGCATGCTCTTTGGTATCGATATAGCTAAGATATATAAATTCCGTATACAGGTGTTGAATGTTTGAAACATACGGGGATGACGAACATTATTCAAGCTCATTGCTGCTTAAATAAGGGAAGTTCACGATGAAAAAATTGAAGTTATTACGTTTATCAAAGAGCGTGGTCGTTAGTTTACAATAAACTTTGTATTTCAGGAAAAATATCAAAATGTGAATCAGATGTGTCAGACTCTGTTGCAATTTTTATGTCAAGCTAACCAAGATATATCGTATCGACATAAGAATGGAAATTAACATTGTTTATTGACAATACATCTTCAATATAAATAAATGTCGAGTTGAAGGCTACATTAAGTGTTTTCTTCTTTTCCCGCATAAGATTTTGGACAATCTCTGCTTCATATTCATACAAACATAGATCTGCTGATAACGGAGTGTATTTGGTACCCATGGTTATTTCAATAGATTGTAAGAAGACCTGTCTCCAGAAACCAAGTATATATTTGCAATGAGAAATCAAGCATCTTTTGATGTCAATTTTAGAGTACTTCCATAAGTGAATGAGAGACTGAATTATTGAAGAAATGACGAAATACCTACCAGTTCACATTATTTGTTGTGTGCATATATTTCCATTTCCAATTGTTTCCTCTATAATAAACACTACAAAAGTGAATCTCGCTAATTTCATGGTAATATCTGTGATATGTGTATTTCTAAAACTACTGAAAGGTCAAACGTCAACCTGCATGTATATCACTGGCGTATAAATACATTAAAGAAAAAAAAAATAGATGTCTTGTTTATTACTTTACTAAGTAGTTAGATATGATATATCTTTTAAGAAACAAAATAAATAATCAATTATCTTCGGATCAAAAGCAAGTCACCAGTGCAAGGCTGTCCACTATCACCGAGGCCTCACAAGACCGAGAACTCCACTTCCATAGACATGGTAAACAGCCCATCTGAACCACGTGGAGAAATCGGTATTGCCAAATAGATCTGCACTCTATCATCTGACACAGACATCGTCCCTCAGTCATTTCCATCCGACTTCTTAAGCAACTCAACTTCCTCTGCTATTTTAACATCCACATAAATCTGTTTTCTGACCATGCTGACCAACTCCCGTTTCATCAACTGCAACATTGCATTCAATTTGGCGGCAGAGAAGTGACATAGGGCCTATACACGTGTTCGTGCTTCCGACAACTTAAGTCTAGGTCACATATATAATTAAAGTTAACAAGATTGCTTTGATCGTAAATTGAAATTCTCTTGTTGTTTATTTTGTAAATTTGATATTTTACTACAGAAACTAAATAATCAATAAATGATTTTGTGTTTTTATGAGATTATTTTCTTTATAGTAAAATTTGACGTCATGAGGCCTCGTGCATTTCGAATATACTAAATTTAACTAGACAGTGATTCCTTAAATGAAGACAATTCACTTGCATATGCATGTAACCTCTGTGGTCTATCATTATAGTATATATGACATATTGTCCTTGTACAGGACAAGTTATGTTGCCGATAGCTGGTATTGCAGCATGTGTACACATTGTGTCGTTAAAACATAAATTACCGTCGTGTTTGTTTATTGTATTCGATACGTAGACATAGAATCCCGAAAAATCTTGCAGTGTAACAATTTGAAGGTCCTTATAACACGAGGCAATAGTGAAATTAATTACTTTAGCAGGTAAAATCCCATCATCAGTAATGGATTCCACTACATATCAGTTCTTTAAAAAATAAAAAAAAAAACAGACAAATTGTTAGAAGATCATAAATCAAGCTAAAACTTATCGTAGATGATATACAAATCTGACAAAAAAAAAACAATATTACGTAATAGCTAAAATAGACATATGTTTTAACCAAAGGTATACTTATTTAAATTTGTGCTGATCCCTTTTTTCTGGACAAATTGCATATTGAATAGAACTGACCGTTTTGATTTATAATGTCAATCCTGAAAAGTCATAAAAAAGATCAGTATACTTGAATATATGTAGGTATTGAGATTAAATAATATACATGCATTGATTCCTCGCCCACTTTAAACTGTAAAACACAGATAAAAGCCAAATACAATGATCACTCTTGTCTTGAACTTTAAGAGTATAAAGAAATCCCAGACAAATAAGTTAATGCCAAGATAGCATGCACAGTCCGATCAAAATTATCTAACATTGACTGTTTTATAATCGTCCTGGGCACCTATTTTTGTCCGATATTCTCTTCTTGGATGAAGAAACAAATCCATGGCACCAACAAACAATAAAAATATACCGAATTTTGCTTTCATTTTATAACAAGGAAAATTTATTCCCTAATCTGTCTCCTAGTTAACTTATTATTTTTTGGTTCTTGGTTAAGAGTCCTAAAAGTAACTCTAAATGTCTACCCCAGCTTTATAAAACAGGACTGTAAATAATAAGATTACATGGATAAAAATAATTCGAGGGGTTTGTCCCAGTTTTTAAAATTTCTAGCAAGATTTTTTCACTCATATGGAGACGCCACCAGTTGCTGGTGGAGAGCTACAAAATCTGTCCTATACTCGACACTTAGGGCCATTGAGCAGTGAGGGATCTTTTTCGTGCCAGCACCTGTTGTCAGAAGAGACCCCGGTATATAAGGTCCCATCCCTAGGACCAGTCTTCACGTCCCACAGTGGGATTTGAATGAACGACTCCTTACTTTATGACTCTAGAGCAGACGCTCTAACCACTGCGCCATATGGGCGACTTTTTAACTTTTTAATGTCAAACATAATTAAAATGAACACATATCATATTTCAGTGTATAACTTATGTTAATAACGTTTTATAGATATACAAACAATAAAAGGACACAAAATAATTTGTGTTTATCATAGCTTATCAGATCCAGTATTATTTGTTAAAATTGTAGACAAGACCTATGGTAGACATTTTATTATTGAGCCAAACAGAACCTTATATCTTATCGCGTTAGGTCCTAGCTGTAGATCTTTAGCTCTCTGCTTAAGAAAATTCGGACAGATAAAGCAGAGATCTACAGATCCATGCATTGTAAAAACTTTGGATTTACGTACCCGTCTATTTTTGTCGCTTATCTTGTTTTTTTTTCTTCTTTTAATTAAAATTTAAAGTTTTTTTACGCTCTTAGAATGGTATCCGATAATTAATCAAATATTTTACTCCAATTATTGATATTTTATTTACAATTCAACGGTCCAAAACAGTCCTCTAAGAATTCAGAATGTCAGTATAAAATATTCATATGGTGGCATACTTTTACCATCCACATATTTTTTGTCAACATAAAATATCGCGTCAAGTCAAGATAACTATCTCGTCAAGTCATGATAATTTCTAGTGAATTCATGATTTTATACATTGTAATTTAGCATTAGAAAAAAAATGTAAAATGTTAATAAAAAAATTTTTCTTAAAATATTTAATTTTGCATCAAAACAAAAATGAAATATTTGAGGAGTATAATATTTAATTTCACACGATGATATAAGCTCGAATTTTTAGTGATAAAAATCAAACCGAGACGATCCATCACATACATAGACTTTTAAATCAAATGTACCCTGTAAATGAGTCAAATGATCCATTTATGTTTATTATCGCTCTCCATAACTCGACCTAGTTTGTCAGTCACTAAGTAAACATTAACGGAAGCCATGTTGTAATTGAAAACGACATAGCCCCGTTGGATATTTTAAAACAACCTAAGGTATCCGTTATATTTTATAGCTAAAAATGTTAGAAAAGAGATAAATATTATGCTTTTATTTTTTCTAAAGTTAAATTCTAGTTTTGTTTTAGGTGAGATACATATTTGTTATAAATTTATAGAATTTTTAAAGCCTTTGCATTTTAATTTCGTTTTGAACCTATTTACGAGAAACAAATACTGCTTTGTTTCAGTTTATATTGTCGATAAATTTCACACAGATTGAAGAAATAAGTGATACATTTAGAGAGAG